GTGTTAGAGGGGCTAAGACAGTGGAAACGTCTATGTGATTTATTTTCATCAGGTTATAATTTTTTCATTGTGTTGTTTATTCAAAATAAAGCTGTACTGTTGTTTTCTGCACTGGAGTTTGTGAATGATGTCAAAGAGGCCATATTCTGTTTCTCTGGATACAAATTGTCAAACTGACACATATAATTTGAAGAACATGTCTGTGTCATTAAAGCCAGTACTGAGCGTGCTTCAACATTTACTGTCCAGGGCCTCCTTTCTCAAAGCACTAAGATTGTCTTAAGTCACTAAGGTAACCTTAGTGCAATGTTAAAGAATGGGAGTTAAGGTTCACCTTAGTAAAGGTTGCTTCGTGAAAGGAGCCCCAGGTCTTGACTTCAGAAGAGGACAGTCATCTCTGATCACACAGTGCTAGAGGCAGGTTGCACAGATACTGTTTGTTGTTGGGACCGGGCTTAAATAGAGAAAATCACTGTTCTAGTGATGAAATATTTTAACCATATTTAAGCCCAGGGCTTAAATTCGAAAATGCACAAAATATTTTAATAAAAAGAAAAGAATCAGGACTTTTTAAAACTCTTTAATCAGAAAACTGGTCTATAAATTCAAACTTAAAGTTATGAAAATATTTACTCGAGTGAGTATATGTGAACGTGAATGATAAAGTTGACAGTCTTTAATGCAAAACACGAACTTCAAACTATTATGAGAGGACTGACTGACATCTAAGACAATGACTAGTCTGTACAGTGAGTATTTATGTCCTACAGACGTCCAACCAGACCTGGGCTTTAGGGCAGTGGTTCAAGGAACAGTTCCCAACACGGTTTAATCTCTATTCGCCTACATCTCAATTCGCATACAAAAACAATGTAGGCGAATTGGGATTAGAGAATGCACCCCTACTCTTATAATGAACCTGACTCACTGAGTCTTGATCGACTGTTGTTATAAGGATATGTAGTTGAGTAGAGAGGATTAGATCTGTTGTCACAAGTAACAACCTCAAGACTTGCGCATGATTGTGTTTTTTAAAATAATTACTTCAACTAGAAGATGATGTGATGATATGATGTGATATAAGATAAATAAATTATCATTTCATTGTGATCAGAAAATGATATGTAACAGAAATAAATAAATTCTTTTTGTCCTTCCAACTACTTCAACTAGAAGATGATGTGATGATATGATGTGATATAAGATAAATAAATTATCATTTTATTGTGATCAGAAAATGATATGTAACAGAAGTAAATAAATTCTTTTTGTCCTTCCAACTACTTCAACTAAAAGAGTCCATTTATAGATCATAGGGGTGCCACTAGTTCACCATTGCATAATCAACAGTCAACAGACCATGGCATGTTGTTTTAAGACTGTAGGCGAAATGAGAACATACCCCCAACACAGCATTCTCACCATGTGTCTGTTTGGCCCAACCTTAATGAACCAACACAATAGCCACAATATGGACCTGGTGGGCTATTGGTCCAAGATGGTGCTGATGTGATCTGCAGGGTGATTTGATGCTATGCACCTGGTCTACAGGCCGGCAGAATTATCACATTATTGTTGGCCTCTGTTTGGTCATTGAGCTAGTCCGTCGGTAGACTGCATGTAGCGGAACAGCACAGACACTGAAGAATTGCTGCAAGAATTGGTAATTGTTGAAAGTTTTACTCTCTTTGGCTCTGTGAACCAAAGCATTGTTTCTGCTAAGCTCCTTGTCTTGCCTGGTTATAGGGACATGTTCAGGAATATCAGTTATAACACAAACAGCTTCAAGTAGTTCTCAACTGAGGGAAATATAGTTTCACAGTATCAGTACTTTCATGTTCTTCTGTAAGCATGAATGTGTGGGGATTTGTCATTGGGATTGAACAGGTCCCCAGTAAACAGTGCCTGTCTCCCCCTGGGGGTTTGTCATTGGGATTGAACAGGTCTCCAGTAAACAGTGCTTGTCTCCCCCTGAGGGTTTGTCATTGGGATTGAACAGGTCCCCAGTAAACAGTGCTTGTCTCCCCATGGGGATTCTATGCCATGTTTGTAGAACAACCCCTTGTTTTATATCACTTTCAGCGTGTTAAGACCAACAAAGTTCTGGGGTTTCTTAACAATAAGCAAGGGTCATACAGATGCTTTTTCTTCCTCGAATAATCATTCATGATTTAGTAATGGATTCATCAATTTAGATACAGGTAAATGTATGAGACCATCTTCTAACCATAATTAGGTAGAGGTATTTTACAACTTGGAACAACTGAAGCTTGCAGTGTTGTAATTAGCATGATAAAAGACCATCCCTGTTTCAACTGATACAGTGTTAACTATCCCTATAGCATGATAAAAGACCATCCCTGTTTCAACTGATACAGTGTTGACTATCCCTATAGCATGATAAAAGACCATCCCTGTTTCAACTGATACAGTGTTGACTATCCCTATAGCATGATAAAAGACCATCCCTGTTTCAACTGATACAGTGTTGACTATCCCTATAGCATGATAAAAGACCATCCCTGTTTCAACTGATACAGTGTTGACTATCCCTATAGCATGATAAAAGACCATCCCTGTTTCAACTGATACAGTGTTGACTATCCCTATAGCATGATAAAAGACCATCCCTGTTTCAACTGATACAGTGTTGACTATCCCTATAGCATGATAAAAGACCATCCCTGTTTCAACTGATACAGTGTTGACTATCCCTATAGCATGATAAAAGACCATCCCTGTTTCAACTGATACAGTGTTGACTATCCCTATAGCATGATAAAAGACCATCCCTGTTTCAACTGATACAGTGTTGACTATCCCTATAGCATGATAAAAGACCATCCCTGTTTCAACTGATACAGTGTTGACTATCCTGTTTCAACTGATACAGTACAGCATGATAAAAGACTATCCCTGTTTCAACTGATACAGTGTTGACTATCCCTATAGCATGATAAAAGACCATCCCTGTTTCAACTGATACAGTGTTGACTATCCTGTTTCAACTGATACAGTGTTGACTATCCCTATAGCATGATAAAAGACCATCCCTGTTTCAACTGATACAGTGTTGACTATCCCTATAGCATGATAAAAGACCATCCCTGTTTCAACTGATACAGTGTTGACTATCCCTAATACATATGGAATTGGTTGTTCCAGATAAATCCTGATGCCTGTCTCAGCTCTGTAGATTTTCCTTGATTGATTTTGGGGGTATTTGTAGTTGGTTCACACTAAGGAGGGGTGTGGTCGTACAAGTAATCCTCCGCACTACACATCGGCAGGTCCCTTGTCTCCAGCCTGTGTCAGTACTGGCAGACTGCAAGGCAGGGTTAGACTGGCTTTGGGTCTATCAAGGATCCACACGTATGTGTGGTACAAGCATCTCCAACCCAACAGTTACAAGCATATGCAACCTGTACATGGCGCCTGAGTGATATAGGAAGACACAGGATCGCTTACCATGTTTTCTATTGGAACAGACTTGGCATGACTGTACACAGTAACTTAATAACATGATGGCAGATAGACCTGGCATTAATGGTTTTACCAGAATGTTTTTGTGATAAAAACTGGTTCTATTCCAGATTTATGAGTGAATACTGACAAGTGGATTCTATCAAGTGGTGTTATAATATTCATCTTGACCAGGTTGATAATTCCGTTAACTCCCAGACTTCATGCTGTGAAATGCTACATTGTGACAGATGAAGTCAGTGGCAATGTGATATACAGTATCATAATGATGCTGCTATACTGTGAGTGTACAACCACCTGCTGCTCCATGGACCCCCTCACCAAGTGAAGGAGTTGGGATATATACCTTGCTGCATCATGTGTTACCATGGTTACTACAACCATCTCCCTCACTCATACAAGACACAGTTACTTTGACATTTATAATTTAGTGGAAATCAAGTAATCTTTTATGAAGTGTTCTCAAGTTGTTCTCCCATGTTCCATGCACAGTTTCTAACTGCTCCTCTCATTATAACCTACGTGACCACACACTGTATGGAGATACTATCTACCTGACCACACACTGTATGGAGATACTATCTACCTGACCACACACTGTATGGAGATACTATCTACCTGACCACACACTGTATGGAGATACTATCTACCTGACCACACACTGTATGGAGATACTATCTACCTGACCACACACTGTATGGAGATACTATCTACCTGACCACACACTGTATGATGATACTATCTACCTGACCACACACTATATGAGGATACTATCTACCTGACCACACACTGTATTGGCATTCTATGTACCTGACCACACTGGATGGGGATACTATCAAGCTGGTGGTGAGAGACATCTACCTGAGCACACTGTATGAGGATACTATCTACCTGAGCACACTGGTTCCTGTGTTATACTGAGCATAAGCAGCAATTCCCTGTGTTATACTGAAGCACGTGGATTGCCCATATTCCCCGGAAGTGGTTTAACCATGATAACAGCCACAGTGATTTAAGACAGCATGTGGGAGGATATGACAGTTGGTTTTCATGCTTCCATTTAGTGTCAATATGTCAGTGTCTAGATGTACATGCATGGTGTCTAATCCTGACTATCCCAAAGTATCCTCATGTCACTGTGTACAAGGTGCCTTCAGATACACATGTTAAACTGCATAAACAGTGTGATTATGTTATTATTGGCTGTCTTGGAAACCACATCATTGAAAAGTGGTGTAGTAAAAATCCATCTCACTCAACCATTAACAATTGTAAAATTGTATTTTGTGTCAAGTCTTTTCTTTGGTAGTATCAGTGATGGGTATTTGTGAGCTGTGCTGCATATTTTAAATGGATCCCTTGACAGTGATGGGTAGTTATCTGTGAGCTGTGCTGCATATTTTAAGTGGATCCCTTGACAGTGATGGGTATTTGACTGTGAGCTGTGCTGTATTTGTAAAGTATAAGTAACTTACTTCAAGTTGTGACCATGCACTGCACCGATGTTGATCTTCCAGATGCCATGTGTGAACTGCAGGCCACCTTGGAGTTCTCGGTGGAGCTCAACAAGTTCTACAATGTAGACCTCTTCCAAGAGGGTGAGTATCAACTTATATTCTATGTTTCTATTCTATGTAGCCCAGTAGTTAAAGCATTCACTCAAGATCGGCGTTTGAATCCCCATGTCAGTACCTAAGTATAACCCATTGTTAACGTCCACTACTAAGATATTTGTGTGATATTGCTACAAGTATTGTTTTTTTAAAACTCACCTCACCAATCACAATCAGCTCAAACTTGTTTACTTCTAGTTGTTTGGTCATGTGCTGGCACATCATCATACCTATATGTCACATATGTTATATGTTATTTTTGTGGAAGTCACGGTGGCTGAGCGGTCTAGGCAGCCGACTTTGTGTGCTGGCGATTAGGTGCCTGACTCTGAGGGTGTGGGTTCAAATCCTGGATGGGACTCAACCCAACCAAAGTACTTGAATCTGTACTTTACTGAGAAAGTGTAATCCCAAATGTAACATATGTTACATTTGACCACTTTCTACATGGCATTGTGTGAACATACGTGTATGTCGCTGGAGTATTACTGAAAGTGGCATTTAGCAAAAATCTTTCTTGCCTTGGGGAAGTTCTCCATTTTTCTTGCTAAATTTGTTCTAGATTCATTTTAGCATGGCATTAAATTAAAGGCACAATATGTCAGTAACTCATTCACTGAGTGGCATGTGTGGGACTACCTCTGCTGTCAACATCCCTCAAACAAGCTGTCTGTTATCTGTGTCTTAAACAACACCCGGACATCAACTGGGCCCTAGCTTGTTCTACACTGGACAAACTGTACCGGTTGATATGACTTCATAAATACCACCCTGACATGGCCCTGATGTTCTGTTTATCTCTGTACGAAATCAATAAGAAGCCAATTATGTCGGGAGAATGCAGGCACATGGGTGTTTACAGGTAGCCTGTTCACTGAGTCCTGCAATCTATAGCTGCCCAGGACATTCGATGGGGACCACACCCTCTGCCTTGATTCTCCAGAGAAGGGATGGGTCAGTCATTGTTTGGAGGATGGGCCATTGACATTTCTGGCAATGAATGCACTTAGACATCAACCCCTCCCTGAATAGTTTATGACAAACTCAATATGTCGCATGTTGTTGGGAAAATAATGCAGATATCATCAATAATTAACAGTAAAAGGACGGTCTGTCTCATCTTGCCTCTCCTGTGTCTCAGCTCATCTGGCTTTTACAAAGTTGGCACAGGCTGCCCAATTGTCCAATGCATTGCAGTTTCCTGTACAGAGTTGTGTATCTTGGGCTATGATCATGTTTTCACTCATCACCTGATCCTCTTATTAAGATTCTTCATCTGTCAGGACTACATGATCCAAGCTTGGGGCTTACAACATTCAGCATGACACACAACTCACCCAGCATTCAGCATGACACACAACTCACCCAGCTCACACTGCTTGCTTACTCACTCTTATCACTTAACTCACCCAAATCACCAATTCTCTCAACTCACCCGAGTCACTCAGTCAACTTGGCCAACTCACCCATTCATCAAATCACCAAATCAACCACATGACTCCCCAAACTCACCCGTTTATGCAGATAACCAACTCTAAGATAATTACACCAGTATGTAGCGTAATCACTTCCATATTGTTTTTCTAAACCCAAGGTTGAGCTCTTTTCAGGCCGGGAGGCCTTATTACATGTGACCTTCTGGGTGCATAATAAAATAATGTCATGATGCGGCCACACCCACATGTGAGGTTCTGTAAGTCATATTTCATCTGGATATTGATCATGTTAATAATTCAGATAAGAACTGAAATAGCTGTGCTGCACACTGTACAGAACTGCATATAATCTGTTGTCGATGGGAAAAAACGAAAATGTTATCGAATAGTAGGCTGTGTGGTGAATTTGTATGTATACTACTGTGATGAAATTAAAGAACATCCAGTTCTTTCATATCACCATATATATGTATGTATGTATGTGTGTGTGTGTATGTATGTATATATGTGTGTGTGTGTATGTATGTATATATGTGTGTGTGTATGTATGTATGTATGTATGTATGTATGTATATGTGTGTGTGTGTGTATGTATGTATGTATGTGTGTGTGTGTGTGTGTGTGTATATGTGTGTGTGTATGTATGTATGTATATATGTGTGTGTGTGTATGTATGTATATATGTGTATGCATGTATGTATGTGTGTGTGTGTGTGTATTCTTTTAACAACATACTTACAGAAATATGATAAAGAGAAAACATGAGGTTTTACAAAGCCACATATTTACATGATTCTGGTGAGAATTAAGTCATTGTATATAGTCATATTCTAAAAATTTGTGCATATTCATGTTATATGTTTGTGTCGACAAATTATTTTGTGAAAAAAGGTCAAACTTTGTCACAAGGTTTGATGTCACTACCGTAACATCATCCAAAACATGGCAATAATGATTACTCCCTGTACTGTCATCTAATTCTACTTCATAATTGCAAGCAATGGCAGTGAGAAAACAGGGCTGTCAAACACTGACACCAAAGATTCATTTTTCTTAAATTTATCGCAAAAAATGTGTGTACAAAATGATATCTGAGATTTTTGTATGTCCTAACCGTTACAGTGGCTACCGCTGAAACAAGTTAATTTTGTGAAGCCAAACAATGCCAAGTACTTTAGACAGTAGGGGAAATCATTTGAAACCATGTGCTCAGTAAACTTTGAGGACCAGTTATTGTTTTAAAACTGATATTGTTAGTGGCTGTCACTACGGTTACTGTCACTGCCCTTATCATGGGTTTTGTTACGGTAAGGACAGATTTTGTGATGGCAGTGACATTTTTATAGTTTAATGTTGGTTTGTATCTAAATTTTCAATTCAAAGATATCAAATGTTTTGGAATCTTATTTAACATAAAACTTTTGTATCAAATGAATAAAATCAATAAGCATATAAGTATGATTTTGTTGTTACGGTATGGACAGGGTAGTGTAAGGGCTGTGACAAAGAAAAACACGGCTTAGATAGGGCCGTTACGGTAGTGACATTATATACCGTCACAATGTCACAGCCTTAACATGCAGTCTTTACCTGTATTTTTACATGACAGGGACATCCATAAATAAATCTTTGGCCTATTACATATTCTTCAAACATTCTAAAATATACGAATGACAAATTTAATCAAATTATCTTTTAAAGTAAACATACAAAACTGGCTATTAATAAAAATGTCACTACCATTATTGTGTCACTACCGTAACAATTAATGTCAATGCCATAACATTATCATTTTCCTTATTTAATTAAGATTGATTTATCTGTTTATGTTTGGAATTTGTAGTGCAAGTATGTTTGGTAGTAGAGCTTCAAGTAAGCATAATATAATTCATATTCTCATTTTGAATTTTTTGCTACATATTACTTTATATACGCAAATCAGAAAAGAAAGGAATTGTTTGGCTTGTTGGACCCTTTTGAGCAATAAATATTAATTTATAAACTCATAAGCCATATTATGTTGTAAAACTAGATGTTTTAATATATATGTACATTAAGGGAATATCATCTTTGGATTTTTTTCTTTTCCAAATAAGGTTACAAATTTTGTAACGGTAGTGATACAATTTCATGAAATTTCTAATAAAAAGGGTAAAATATGAAAAATCAAATGTTGTTAAGCTTGCATAATTTAGGTTTTGCATATTCAGAATACTGTGGATGTAATCAACAACATTTCAAGGTAAAACAAGAAAACAAAATTTACAATTTTTGCCCATATGAAATATGCATGAATTTTGAGAATGACTCATATATATAGTTAATATGATGCCATGACAGATTAACTGAGGTAGTAAGAAGAAGTATTTTGTTGATCTCTGATGTTTGCATTGGTATATCCTTGCAAACTGGCCTTGAAACAGTGTAACCACTTGTGCCTTGTTTACATAGTTAACAGATCTGAGAAAATATGGTCAGTTGAGCACATTGGGCTTTGGGCATGGACAGTATTGTAGACGTATTGGATGTAATGCAAAAAACATATATGTTAGTTTAATGAACATTCCTTACATGTTTATGTTTTTCTAATTAGTAACTTATATTGTATGTGTGTGGTTGACCTGACTGTTGATCTGTTACACACAATTTATGACTGGTTCCTGATGCCTACAGTCAGGTCAGCTGCACACACAACAAGATGACTGGTCCCTGACGTATACAGTCAGGTCAGCTGCACACATACATTAAATGACTGGTCCCTGATGCCTACAGTCAGGTCAGCTGCACACATACAACAAAATGACTTGTCCCTGACGTATACAGTCAGGTCAGCTGCACACATACATTAAATGACTGGTCCCTCGATGCCTACTGTCAGTGGTCAGCTGCTCTTATACAACCAGGAAAAGACGGGCATGATTCACTCACTCACTCACACTCACTCACTCACTCACTCACTCACTCATAAAGTTAGAATTGATCTTCAGTAACCCATGCTTGTCTTAAGAGGTCGTTAATGGGATCGGATGGTCAGGCTCGCTGACTTGGTTGACACATGTCATTATATCCAAAATGCACAGATTGATGGTCATGTATTGTCTGGTCCAGGCTCAATTATGTACAGACCGCCACCATATAGCTGGAATATTGCTGAGTGCGGCGTAAAACTAAACTCACTCACTCATAATAGAGCAAGCTGACTTATTTTTGGGGAGATGAAGCTAACATTTAGCCCTGCAACTATGTAGAAACACTGAGTTCAACACATAGACCTGGTGCCTTGTGGATCGTCGTCATCTGTTAACAAACAGCTGTGTAGATATGTTGCCCATTGTGTTGGAATAGTGCTGCACCAGTGGTGAAACAGCTGGCGTGTGTTGACTGGACATATTTCAGAAGCATATTGACCCACCTCTGTTGTCACATGTTGGCATTTACAATACTGAGATTACAGTCGCATGGCGACTGGCATATGGCGGCGGGGCTCATTATGGATAAACTCCCACTGTGTCCCGCTTTTCTTAGCTCACTTGCAACATGGGATGTAATAGCT